TATTAAACTATAAATATATTTCTCATGTTGTGTTGCATTAAAATTATAAATTTGTAAAATATTTATAGCATTACTTAGACTTGAATTTCGATTACCCATTAAAGGAATGAAAAAGAAGCGATTGAAGGATTGCTTTGCTATTTTTTAGTTTACTAACAGGAACATTACGTGATTTCAAGCCTACCACTCAATCTTGCTTTCGATTTTCAAGTGGCGTACCCTACATCAACTACAATGTCGGTCGACTATAGTTGAATGCATTTATTTTGTCAATCGTCATCATTGCTCACTACTCAAAAGTTCTCGTAATTTCAAGTTTGGTTAGTGGGTTTTAGTTTTGCAGTCTCGATCGACGATACTTGAGCTTTAGCTAATTTTTTTTTATCTTTTTGCTCACCTCCTAACCCCTAAGGCGATTTAGATGTGTTGAGCTCGTGGTCTAGTGATTTTGAGATTTAACCATTTTTTTAATTTGAAAGCTCACCACAAAGACCAATTTTTTGGTTTTCTTGCTTATAGCTAAGCCACTCGAACGATTTGGATATGTTGAATGCCTGTCTAGTGATTTTGAGCTTGAACCAATTTTTTGATTTTGAAAGCTCATCACTAAAACTGTAGAGTGATTTTGAGCTTATGACTAATTTTTGGTTTTGTTACTCATCACTTGATCATAGAGCGATTTCGAGCTATGGTATTGTTGTTCACCGCTTGTTCCGTTATGTAAACTTTAAGTGTAGAGCGCTTTTGAGCTAACTAGTTTTTTGGTTTTGTTGCTCACCGCTAGACCGAAGAGCGATTTCGAACTAACCAATTTTTTGGTATTTTTTCTCGCCGCTTCTCCCGTTGTGTGACCTTGAAGTGCAAAGTGATTTTGAACTAATCAAATTTTTGGTTCAGTTGCTCGCCGCTAGACCGTAGAGGGATTTCGAGCTAACCAATTTTTTGGTATTGTTGCTTACTGCTTGTCTCGTCCTACAACCTTGAAGTGTAGAGCGATTTTGAACTAACCAATTTCTTGGTTTTGTTGCTCATCACTAGACTGTAAAAGGATTTTAAGCTAACCACTTGTTTGGTATTGTTGCTCACCTATTAGCCCCTTTCGATTTTGATGCGTTGGACGACGTTTTGAGCCATAATTCATACAAAAAATCTCAACGGTTTTAGATCAAGTTCATGCATTTAGATAAAATTGAATTAGATTTAGGGACTCAATAGGTGCACCGGGACATCCCTGTAAGGTTGTCCCTTCTTTAATACCCTCAACGTCCATCGTTGTGTAAACTTTTCATTGAACAATGCTAAAAATTACAAAAGGCAAGGATTGATAGCCGGCATTACATTAGGAAAATCAATAAATTTCCTAGCATATTTACAAGGAAAATAGAAAGACATCCTAATTAACTAATTTTTTTAAAACTCACTACCAAGATGCTCACTGCTTAGCTCCTTGAAAGCTCAAACATCCAACCCCTCGACTGATTGGGAATTTCATTAATTGGTGTTACGCTGAAGGGACGATTTTAATAGCATTTAATAGTGGTCGACCTTAGATTGCATTGTATGCTATGAGGGTTTTGTCAATAAAAAAGTTCGTCAGTATCACTAAACTCGTTGGGTAAGTGCCTAGCGTCACCAGAAGCTCTAAAGTTCCTTATGGTATCACATTTGCCCCTCCAAGGCCTTGTAGAGGGGTGGTCACAGTTTTCAATTTTTCTGGAGAGATTTTCAAGCTTAAAAATGCCTCCCAAGTAATAACATTCGATGCACTACCACAATCGACTAGCACCCTCTTGACATCAAAATCCCTATGTTACCGACGACCGCCAAAGCATAGTCATGGGGGGTTTGCTACACCAATCAAGTCTTCTTCACCAAAAATAATGTTTCGAATGAATCTTCTTTTCTTCTGAATAGAGCAGATCCCAATCGAGCATGCATAACTCTTTCTAGTTGAATTTGACTCTCCGCCGCAGCTATCCCACGGATGATCACACTTATCACTCCGACCCTAGATGGGGGACAATCATCAACTTTTTCCTTACCTCAGTCATTTCTCACGTACTTAGGTCTGTAAAACCCATTTCAAAAGGCAATCTCCTCCTTCAGATGTATGCAATTTTCAGTGTCATGTCCATGGTCTTTATGGAAATGGCAAACTTTCTTTTATCTCTTTTACTAGTCGACGCGACCATTACTTTTGGTCAATCGAGCTCTTTTATGTCTTGTTTCTCCATCAGCAACTTAGCATGAAGGGTATTTAAAGGAGTGAAGGCCTTAACCTCTTCTTGCCTTTGCCTGATCGAATTGTTCTGTGCATGCCCTTTGCTCTTGTGCTCCTTTTGGGAACTAGGTCTCCAAGCTGCTAAATTGACTATGTGTCATATAATGAGGCGACTGCGGCGACGTGTCTTGACCCTTGGCGACAAATTCTGACTCTGTTGTATTTCTGACCAAGCACGTATAACTTCTAGTTCGTCTTCTTGACATAGCTTTTATGTTCAATGGTTTCCCACAGACGACGCTAATGAAATAATATTGAAATGACTTTCGGGCTTCTTTAGCGGAGCAAGGAGGTTTTTGTTGTTCCGTTAAGCAATTGAACATCTGCAAAAAGAGGCAGTGATATTCTTTCTCGTTGTACATCTGGCGTGAGAATTAGTAATGGAGTTTTGAAATGACTTATGAAAATAGAAAGAAAATATGTTGAAAAAAACTAGACCTTCTATACATGACATGCCTTTGATGACCGTCAACTAGTTATCAATCAACTAAAATGATGTTTAGACAGTTGAGAGTCGTAATGATCGATCTATCATAGCAAGAGTCGTCTAGCATAACGGTAGTCACTCTTCCATAGTGACAGTCAGGGTAGTATAGCGGTAGTCGTTCTACTATAGTGGTAGTCAGGTTAGCATAGCGACAGTTGCTCAATCATAGTTGCAGTTGGACTAGCATAGCAAGAGGTGCTCTACCATAGTAGCAGTTAGGGTAGCATAGTAGTAGTTGCTTTACCATGGTGGCAGTCGATCTAGCATAGCGGTAATCGCTATACCATACTGGCAGTTGGACTAGCACAACGACATTCGCTCTACCATGGTGGCAATCAGTCTAGCATAGCGCCAGTCACTCTACCATAGTTGCAGTCGATCTAGTATATCGATAGTCGCTTTAGCATAGCGACGTCGGTCTAGCATAGAGACAATCGGTTTAGCATAGCAATAGTCGCTCTACCATAGTGGTAGTCAATTAATTGTTTTCGTTTGCTTGGCCATTACATCCACTATACATGCCACCTAGCATCATATGTGATCTTAACACGTGAATTCTAATATCAACCTTTAACAATCATGTTGATCTCGTTCTTCAACGCTTGTTTGTCAAAGATTTTTATTAAAATCATATTTTTCTCAAATCATTTTTTAACTATACATTTTATTGGACCCACAATTCTTTTTCAATTTTTAATCACGAATTCTCTAAAAAAAATAATTTTCCCTCCAAAAACATCATGTGCAAAACAAGCTTTAGTTTATTTTCTGTTCCTTGAGATCTTAAATTTTCTTTTTATTGTTTGTTCGTAGTATCATCTCGTAGCGATAAACTAAGAATAGAGTTTCTAGTTTATATGATTATGATTAGAGAGCATGTTTGGTTGGACTATTGGACCGGTAGATGAAAAACTCGGCGCAGCTGGGCTTTGAATCATAAATGTACATATAAACAGGCTTTTTCCTCTAAAATTCTATCTATTTAATTCTTGTCCAATAACTTTTTCTTTTTGCTATTTCTATTATATTATACGTTGTTCATTTATAATTGAAAATTGGTCTTAACTAGTTTAATTTTCAATTTGGAATAATTATTTCTTTAAGGGTTGCGTTGACTAAGAATTTTTGTTGCAATTTCGTAGCATTTAATTTGTAAATTTTATTCAAATATTTATTTATTTATTTTATTTTATTTTTTTGTTGGACTCCCATATGCAAAAATTATGGAACGATATTTTAAAAGAATATTTCTATTTCAAAAAAATAAAAAATAAAAAATGATGCTGTAAGCAAATCATGTTGTGTAAATTTGCTGTTAAACGACTTGTTAAATATCCTTGACTAAAACTTTAATTATGGATTATAGCATTAATGTTCGACATCATAATCGAAAAGCATATACATATAAATGGATTATTGATATATTAATAACGAAGTTGCAACATCTACTAAGTATGAAAACCATTAAAGGACTTTAATATTCTCGATTAAAAGACTATCTAAAATTCTTGATTATTATCTTCTTCTTCTTCTTCTAATGCTCCATCCAGACTAAGTTATTGGCTCTGGCTCCGTCCATGGACTTATGCTTATAGCATCCATCCGAAAGCTAAAAGATGAACACCAATTTTGATGCTTATCTTTTTGCTTTCGTTAGGCAAAAGCTATAGTATTATTTATAAACTGTCAAACTTCATTTTTATCCACCACTCACTTATATTTATTTATAAATTAAACCATTTCTATATTTCTTTATTTTTTTTTTCAGATGGAGGCTTAGCCATAAGACGGGTGCTCGTTTTTAAGCATAAGCTCAACCAAGCATGCTCTTAGTAGATGATGACTCAGAGCTGGGCTCCAAGGGCGTAGTCATAGTGTTCAACCACGTAAATCTTGCATATTTTATAATGACTGAAAAATATCAGGACAAGGACTATTAAGAAATAAAATTCCATATCGAATAAAGATGAAAATACAGACCAATTTATAAGAGTTTGAGTTACTCCTCTTAACAATGTTGACATTTTAAGATGAAATCTCAAATTTTAACAAGGACAACTTATAACATCTCTAATATAAATATTATCATTGACAGGATGAAAAGTACTTAACATTTCACACACAAAGGTTCGTCTTGATTCTACTTATTCATATTATAACATACCTCACCAAGATATCTCTCGATGACAAATTCATATTAATTTTTAGTACACAACACGACAATCATTTCATTCATGGAATAAACATTTTAGATTTCCCAAGATGATGGGTTTCCACATCTACCGTGATATCTATGTAATAAGCCAACCACGAAATTGGATGCGGAACATCTTCACTTTTCATCTCGTACTCCAAAGTCCATGTAACATGGTCAATCCCATCTTTTGTTTCAACATGAACAGTTATAGTGAACGATTTGTAGAATTGCATAACATCTCCTTCGAGGACCTTAACAACCAATGACTTCTTCTCTTCATCGATGGTGTCGAGTACCATTTTTGCACTCTGCTCTTTTCCATCTATTTAAATAATAAAAAATATTTAATCCACAAAGTAAAGTATATGGGCATTGAAAACTAAAAATACTATGTACAAAATATTAGCGCTTCAATAGAAGTGATTTTTGTTAAAAAATCAATTTTTTTCGAAGATTGTGTGGTTAAAAAGTAGAAAAAATTATGGAAAACATGAAAAATGAGTTTCTTTTTCAAAGAATAAATAGTTGATATTGAGTTTAAGAAAATGTGATTTTCGAAAAACTACTTCACACGTACTAATTAGACGATCATATGAAAGAACTTTTCGATGTTAATTATTCCATTTATTAGGACAAAAAACTTGATGACTTGACATAATGTGGACAGTTTTCTCTCATTTTAAAAAAGAGAGAGAGAGAGAGAGATCGATTTTAGCTGATTTTTTTCGACTAGAAGTCGGAAATAGAGTCAAATCACACTTTTTGAAAACCTCATGAGTACAAACCAAATTTCTAGCTAAATTCGAAGGGGAAACTATATTCTTGATAGTTATGGGACACTGAAGATGCCAAAGTTAAGGGTTATTCGGAAACCAAAATATTCACACTGTCACTTGCTCGATTGATCACTGAAGAATATTTGTACGCAAAAATTATAGAGTATTAGACACAACTGAAGAAGAGAGGCACTGAGGCACACTTCTCTTCAATTTTATCTAGTTGAACGTACTTAACACGTGCAATAAGTGCAATGGATTACCTTGGGAGTATTTGAAAAACACGACGCAGCCTGCATTTCCGAATTCTCCTTCAACCAAGTCACAAGCATGTACCTTTCCAACGCAGGCATCGGCTAACTGGTGTGGCTTATGCCTGAAGAACTCATGAAACACGTCTCCACCAGCCTTGAACTCTAACTGAGCAATCAACTTACCAGTTAATCCCATTTCTTATTCTTGATTGTTAAATGCAAAGAAATCAAATATTTAAATAGAATGTGGATATGAAACAATTATTTAGATAGTGTGATGCAGATTCTCAATGAGCACCCTCATGATTTTATAGCCTCATTTTCAAAGGATTGATTTGATTTGACATTTTTCCTGTTTGGGAAGATGATAAAACTTATAAATGTATTGCAGGAAATGAGTGAACACCATTGTTTTCCTGTATGGTACCCTACCCACCAAAATTAATGACAACTGATCAAGTGCATTGCAGCTAAGGATAGAACATAGTTTTTTCGTAGTTTTGCATATATTTGATTCCACTTACGATGACTAATTTGGGGTTTTGATGTTATCCGTTGTTGCGGACTTAAATTTGGACCAATTCATTAAAAAACTTCTACCTAGTTTCGTATGTAAGTGCTATATCCTAAGTCCAATCGATTTGGATTAAAAAACTTATTAATATATTTAATGCATCATATTTATGATCAGTGGCCGACGCAAATATTTTGAGTTAAGGGGCACAATTAAACCATGTACAGATCAAATACTTTGTTCTTGAATTTTGAATGATTCATACTTGACCCAAGATCACGCAGATTTACGTTTTAAAAAAATTCTTTCATTAATATTTTGCTCATCATTTTTATCCATTTGATTTCAAACGGTCATTTTATTAATACTTAGCTCATTACAAGAAAATATATATTTATGCATAAAGAATTTATAGTATATTTGATACAAACAATCAATTAAAATAATCAGTTCAAGTAATCGAAAGGAAAAATATATAACCAATATTAATACTAATAATCAATTAAATAAACACAATTCGTTAAATATAAGTCAAATTGAACATAATCACTTCAGACACATTCTATATATACAATTTGATAGGAGAAAATGAAAATTTAGGTTCTTATTAGTTGAAAATTTGATTGGGAAGTGAATATTTGTAGTAGATGTGATAATTTGTAGAGAAATTATGGACAAATTTTAAAAAATTAGAATGATTAAAATTTTGGTAAAAAACATGAGGGAGAGAGTCACGAGAGAGTAAGAGAAAAAAGAAAGGTCAAATTTATTGTGATTAAAATAAGATTTTAGTACATTTTGATAAAAGTTGAAAATTTGTGAATCCCATGAAATATATTATTAAATTTAATTGTTAACTTTGATTTAAATAAAAATTTATATTTTAATCCATACCAAACAAAACTTTATAAAACAAAAAAATCTCAAAAGTTGAGGGGTCACGTGACCCTCATGGACTCGTGTCCGCCCTTGTTTATGACAAATGTATTAATTAATTGAATTATTATATTGACAAATTAAATTAGTAGAGTCCGTAAATTCAAATTTTGGTAACTTTTTAATCACAATGAGTTATGATTGTATGTTACAAATTACATATAATTGAGCCACTGTTTGGTACACATTAAAATTTTCATTCTCATTATTCTACTCATTTTCAACCACACATTCTTCAATAAAATAATATTTTCCATCACATCAATAACTTTTCCTTCTTTTTCAATCACAAATTCTCCATCAATCTACTATCCCAGAATACATTCTTCCAAAATAATGTGGATCAAACACACCCTGAATCTTAAATTATCCGTGGTCCTAAATAGTAACAAGATACGGATATCGTTATTACGAATATTCAAGCACGTGTGACATTTCTCACTTATGAAGTGAGTAACTGATCTTACAAACTAAATGTAGTGACAAATACTCCCAAGGTAATCCATTGCACTTATTGCACGTGTTTAGTACGTTCGACTAGATAAAATTGAAGAGAAGTGTGCCTCAGTGCCTCTCATCTTCAGTTGTGTCTAATACTCTATAATTTTTGCGTACAAATATTCTTCAGTGATCAATCGAGCAAGTGACAGTATGAATATTTTGGTTTCCGAATAACCCTTAACTTGGCATCTTCAGTGTCCCATAACTATCAAGAATATAGTTTCCCCTTTGAATTTAGCTAGGAATTTGGTTTGTACTCATTAGGTTTTCAAAAAGTGTGATTTGCCTCTATTTCCGACTTTTAGTCAAAAAAAATCAGCTAAAATCGATCTCTCGCTCTAATTTATCTTATTTTGATTATATCAAAATAATAATTCGTGCCATCCAAAATCATGATTCAGGACCTAATGGGTAACACACAAAAAGAAGAATTACAAGAATGATATTATGAATTATTTAATTGACAAATGTTGGACATTTGTAGAATTAGTTAATTGGATTATTTATCAATGGGCTTAACATGACTAATTAGATTAAACGGAAATCACATGAAAAATTTTAGAGATTACAATTCAAAAATCAGATTTAAAATTTATTTATACAAAAATTAGATCTTAAATCAAAATTTTAATATTAATAATATTATTATAAAATTAATTTATCTACCATATACAATTTCAATCACAAACTCTAATTATATCTCTCAATTCTCTCTTTCTCTTTAAATCTCGCCTTTCTATTCTCTCTTCTCTCACCATCTTTCTATCATCTTCTCTCACCATCAGATCTAAGATGTCGCGGCCGCAAGTGCAACTATGGCTGCCTCCCAAGTGATGGTTGCCGTCGTGAAGCTTACTGCCAGTCAAGGTAAAGGCGGACAGAGAAATACGAGTTGCGTTAATATTCAAACTGTGTTTTCTTGACGTATTCTGGCTGTACCTTCTGGCACGTGGCAACATTTTCCCAACAACAATTCCGTGTGTGAGGTAGAAAATCAAGAGAGAAGAAAAAAAGGCCGCAAGACTTGTGGTGTGTGTTGTGCAAACGAGCGCTACTGCAGACAAACATGTCGGCTTTTGAAGGGGTCAACTTGACTCGTGGTATGTGAGGGAGAGAGGGGTATGGTGGATTGGACGAATCTATTATGGTTAAGGATCGAAGCGGTAATGATATTGCGTTTTTCTCTTGCAATGTTTTTTACTTGGTTTTAGATCGTTGATATTGCATTTTTCTTTTTGTTTGGTTTAGGTGGTTTTTATTGCACCAAATATTGCTAATTTTGGGGGGGAAATTGTGAAAGTATTAGATTTTCAAAGGACTGAAGCAACGATGAGCGCAGTGGCTACTCCATGCGATTTGCGGGCTGCGGTCGGTGGCGGGGTGGTGGTTATGTTAGCTGTCTGATGAGTTGGTGGTGGTTGTGGCACGTCGTCGTAGTTGCTGCGAAGTCACGACGATGATTGTGATGTTGGCGGTCAGATAAAATGACAGCGATGTTGGCGGTGGTCATGGGGTGGGGTGGGGGTATTTGTGACTAATTATTTGATTGATTGTGATTGATAAATTGGTTAAACTGTGACCAATAAATAATATGAGACCTAAAAAATATGATCGTGACTTATAATTTATTAACTTATGATCGAAAAATAACTTATAACAATTAATTTGATAATTTGTGATCTTTAAATAAGTTGTGACTTATAAAATTTGTGATTTGTGATCGATAAATAAATTGTGACCTATAAAAATTTTATTTGAGACATTTGAATAAATTGTGACTTGTGCAAATTTTTATTTGTGAACATGAAATAATTCGTGACCTATAAAATTTTTGATTTATGATCTAGAAATAATTTTTGACCAATTAATACTATAATTTGTGACCTTAATATATTTAATTAATTATTTTATAAATAAAGTTTAATTAATATTTGATTTTTGAAATTCTAAACTTCTTTTTTAAGTTTTGAAATGCGTAATACTTGATATCTTAGATATGAAATTTTTCCTTAGATTAATTAACTTACGGACGAGATTTAACTAATTAGATTAATTAACTATTCGGCTTGCTTGTATTTAATGGGTGGGTCAATCCCACTTAAATATCTATCAATAAGTAGTTAGGGTTTAATAAATCATAGCACATCTCATAATTATCATAATCATGCTTGCATAAAAAAGAGAAATCCTAATCTCTCGTTGTTGTTTTCTTTTGTAAATTTTTATTGGAGGTTGGCCAACTGTGGTATGAAGAGATAATTATTCACATAGGTATGGAAATCGTGAGTATTCCAAAATTAGTTAAGGAGTTTGCAAATTTGCTGAATGTACAATTCTAATCACAGTTTCTATTTAAATACAAAGACAATCTTTGAGGATAATTAAAATTATTTTTAAATTACGTTGTATATGTATAAGTAAATTCCCAACATCGTTTTCATTGACCAGATTCATCTTTTTAAATTTTCATCAAAAGCTCCGAAAGGTGTGTGTAGCGACTCGAGACTTGAGCAGGCCAATCTTCCCTACTCTAATACCAAGTTGAGCTATCTTCCAATAACTTATTCTTATAAATAGGAATTATATTTATTAAAAATTTTAATCTCCAAAAGTTATTTTGGGTCAATGGTCCCCCAAAATTTGCATGCAAGTAGCGTTAAGATTAGTAGCTGGAGAATT